TCTGAAAGGCTTTTGTATTTTCTGAGTAATTTATGTATTTTGATATGAGATTTCACCAATAATATTAATTTACCTATGTGTATTTTTTTCTTGCATATTTTCATAGACAGGTTGACTTATCCAGCTTTATTTCCCATTGTTTTATTGCATTTATGTAAATGTCCATTTATTCGTTTGATTTTTTTTGGAAGTTACGAGTTAAATGTTTAATGATCTTATTACCATGAGTACTTTGAGTAAAACATGACAAATTATCAAAATTAGTATGAAATACCAGTACATAAGTGGGTACAAATTTTTTTTCTCCATATTGCATATAATAGGATTTATATCTAAGGACAGTTTGCACTTAGTTTTCTGATACATAGAAGTTATCATCCAATTTTTATTAAATATTTATGTCATGAAGTTGGCTCTGTGTAAGATGCTGACATAGATTAATAAAAACAATCCACTGGACCTTGTCCTCAAAAGGATTAGATTTAAAAAAAAAAACCAATAAAACAGACCCAAATGTCACACGATGGTGCCTTATCCAGCTTTTGTCTTTGTTTCTTAACAGTCTTCGATCTAACCTGAAACTCATACAGCAACTAAAACCAGTTTTGCAAGGCATAGCTTTTTCTACACATCTCCTTTAGCTGCTTTACAGTGGTCAGTAAAAATAAATGAATGTAACTAATACAATTTTTTACAATAGTGGTGTGTGAGTATTTTAGGGGTCAGCAGTTATACAGGTTGAGATGATCTGTTTCTGCTAAAATTCAGAAAGTATGTAAGAGGCAGAGTTTTATGTGTCAAAGGAGATTTACTGTCTGTTTTATCTTTTAGAAAAATCTAGCATTCTTAATGTTATTGCTTTAAAGTTGATAAAATGTATTTTTAGGTATATACTGATAAGTGGATTTCTTAATTATTCACATGGATTCTATAGTAATGTTTTGGTTAATGAAATGTTTAATCTGAAATCAAGTAGAACACACATCAGATTTTTCTCCCATACGTTTTTATATTCAGGACACTAAAATGTAGAGTTCAGAATTTAAAACAATTTGATATCACCTGTAAGATATTAGTCTGAAATAGATTACTTAGCATTTAATATCATTGCTTTACTTGGTGATCCATTAATTCATACAAAGGTATTATACCACTTACCAAAACTTGTGTGGGGCACTTAAAAATACAATGATGATTAAGGCTAGTGGGGAAAATGAATGTGTAGATCTTTATTATTTAAGGTGGCAAATGCTGTACGTGTGTATCCACAGATCAGAAACTATCCATCTTAGTAGTAGAGGGTTAGGTCTGCAGTGAGGATGATTTGTGAGCTGAGTCTTAGGGGACATCAGAGTTTCTGATGCTGGAATTGAAGGGCAGAGAATGGTGTGTGAAGGGCTACAAGGCAGCATGGCATGGCGTGAGAACCTGCAGGGGTGGATTCTCCAGAGGAAGCTGGGTGCCAGGAGCATCAGGAACTTTATGCTGGGGTTGGTTCTCTACCTTTTCTAGAAATCCTTTTTGATTTCTGCATTTATCCAAACAATTTAATACTCACTACACTAATTGAATATTTGAAGAACTGAACACGAGAATTTTAAAGGCAATTCTGTCATTTATTGTGTTAACAAATATACACTGAGTGCTTACTGTGAGCTAGACATCTTGCCATGTGTTTTCCTGTAAAACTTCTCCAGCTTGTGTGCTGAGTGTTGCTGGTCAAATTCACACTTAAGAATAAAGCACTAGAAGCTTGCTATGATGCTCTGATATGGAGAAATTACAGTGATGTGTCCACAAACTTGTACCAATATAAGTCAATGTGGCACAAAGTCAGTGTGGTTCCTTAGACACTACTTTGAGATTAGAAGTAACACTCAAGCCTTTGGCTCATCAGCCCATGTTCTCTTCATTAACCACAGTCAGAGACATGTATGTAATTAGATAAGAAGGAACAGTTCCAAGGAGCTCAGGCATTCTTTATGCTGCCCTGTGCTTCTGTCAATTTATTATTCTTTAATAAAGATAAGTTTAAAGCATTCCAGTATTTTCTCACCAAATTAGTACATATTAAGAGAAGTGGTGTTTGAAAGATATATTTTACCACAGTTGCTGGGACTGCTATTAAGTGTTGTTATATATCCTGATACTCTCATGCTGTTTCCTTTTACAGACAAATTGATGGTAAACCAGAGAGGCCTTCAGTAACATATGCAACGTATCGAGGCCCCAGACAAATTAGGAAATATTTAAAGCAACAGACTCTGTTGACAACTGTGAATACCTTGGACAGAGAAAATGAAAGTTCTGACTCTAGTACACACACACACACTGACCCTGGGAGTGAGATCGAGGCTGGGCCGGTGCCATCATTGTCATCAGCTAGCACAGACTCATCTACAAAAGGATATTTGCTTGGAGGTCCATTAGAAGACTCTGATTGTAGCAAAATAAGTCTCAACACAGAAAGCCACCTGACAAAAAACCCAGAACTGCAGAATACTGCTTCTTCTAAGGCTCATTTAAATATAAATGATCCTGGGGGCCCTGAGAGAAATAGATCATCCCCTTCTTCTGTGACTAACTCCAGCTATGCTGTTGAAGAATCTGACTCACAGCACCATTTAAGTTGTATACCAGTTTCTCAGACTGACAAAAATTTGGTATATTCAGCATTGTTGACAGGAAGTAATAGCAAAGTCCCTTGCAGTCCAGATTTTCAAAGGCTAAGTACAGTGGAAAATACGGTAAAAGAAAACAGCTCTGCGTTGAGTAATAGGACATTGATGCAAAGAGAAGAGCATGTTAAGCCTCAGAGCCCTGCTATTTCTGACTTCTCTTCTAGTAAATCTGATGGGAGTGACACTACTGAACAAGAAAGTACAAATTTGCCAAGTCCAAATAAATCAATTAGGCATGAAGATCTGCAGTTGCCAGAGAGTGAGTGTTCTGACAAGCAAACTGTACATAACTCATCAAAGCAGTCTGCCAATCGCACTGGTGCCACTGCTCTTCAGAGACATGCTGTGATAGACACAGAACTTGTAAATGAAGGAAAGAGGTTGTCTGCTCAACACTCACAGAAAATTTTGGCTGTTACAGAAATCAGGCAAGAAACAGAAAGTACCTCAGCTGGTGAACCTATAACTTTAAGTCATGTAAAAGCTCCAGAAGATAGAATTGAGTCCTCACCAAAAGATACTGACCGATTGTTTGAAACAGAAGCCAAAAATCTTGATTTTAGGCCACATGACAAAACTCCTCACATTATTAGAAAAAATCAAAGGGACCCAGCCTCTGTAAAATACATCAGTGAATCGACAGTTGTAGCAAGCTTAGAAAGTATTAATAAAATAGCACCTGCATCGAATTTTGGACTTAATAGAAATCACATTTCCAAATCTCGTCTTGACTCTGAGAGTCCTCAACAAGCCAAAGTATCACCTGATGTTAAAACAGCTCTTACCCTTGACTGTAAAAAATCAAATTTCAGTACTTCACCTCCTACCTTTGTTTCTGGAGTTGGGATGTTGAGCAAGGTAGATATTCCTGTGTTAAAGAATGAGGCTTCCTCTGTGCTCATTGAAACTGGGGATGTCGTTGGCATTTCCTGTCAGCCTACAAAGCATCAAGAAGAAAATGTGACAAATCCTGTGGAGGCTGCAGACAGGAAGAATCCTCATCCTCCACCTCACTGTGAGCATGCACCTGCAGTTCTTGATTCCAAAGAAGTTCTTCCTGATAGTGAAAAATGCCAAATTCCTCTAGGTCTTGAAGCCAGTGGCACTTACTTAACTGGGGTGGACCCACTGAGCTTTGAGTCTGGAAGCCTCACTGAGGAACACAGTTCCATTTCATCTCAAGACCCTAATAAAGCAGAGTTAATGCCTTCAAACACTAATGCAAGTAAGAACATGATGGAGAAGTGTGATCCTCTGTCCTTGGAAACCAAGACTGATAACATTGCTAAAATTTTATCAAACACTGAAGGTGATGGTCAGAAGAGTGTTCCTGTTGAATCTCAGTCTGGAAGAGGAAAAATGATACCCTTGTCCAAGATATCTGTTTCCCAAACAGAGCCCAGAAACATTTCTCGGGATAAAATTTTTTCTTCTCCATTTGAAATTACAGATGGGCTAGAAAAGCCTATTTTATTGGAATTAACTTCTCTAGAGATTGAACAGTACAAAAGTTTTGAACCAATGGACCATAAGGGGATTAAAGAGAAATGTTCAGCTTCTAGCCTTAAAGAGAATTGCCAAGCTGAGGTTTCTCCACTTGCCTCCAAATATCAAGGTATACAAGAAACAGAAGCAGACACCTTAACCTCTCCTCCTGCTCTTCTCGAAAGTATTGTATCTGGGATTTTACCACCTGTTCATGATGAGAAAGTCATTAGGGAAATAGCACAGAATTGTGATGTCAACACTTGTATGATTCGTCAATCTTTGGATAATTGTGGGACTAAAGAAATCTGTGGTCTCTCAGAAATGGCAGAACTGAGCTTAACTAATATTTCCCCAAAATTCCAAGAAACTGACAGCATAAAAGTAAATTCACCTTTTCTAGGTTCTGATATCAGTTTGGAAAAAAATGTTTTTGCATCTGAGGATTCAAGCTTTCATAATGTACCTTCTGTGCTGAGATCAGAAAATAAAGCCTCATCTCACAAAAAGAAAGAGAACACTCATTTTCTAAGTAGGGGTACTGATAGTGTGTCTTCTTCCGCTAGTCACTCTGAAGAAGTTAGCATGGTTATAAATTCACATAAACCCCAAAATAATCTTGATTCTGTAAGAGTCACCAAAGATCTCACATGCGAAGGTAACTCTTCAACTAACCTGCTGTATCCTAATAGCTCTTATTTGGAATTTGAAACACCTGTCTCAGTAGGGGCAGAAGTGACCCCATTTCAGGAACATTTTGGGATTCATACTGGGAAGGTATCTCTTGATTTCCCAACCACTGCCCAGTTTGACAATCCCATGGAAGCAGAGACTGGAGCAGTTGCTGGGGCTCCAACGTCAGTTAACAGCTCAAGCCAGCCGTGTTCTGAACCATCTGCTGAACACATAGAAGCTAGGAGAAGAGCACGTGACCAACTTTTGGACCTCAAAAGTGGTTTACTTAAAACGGCTGATACACTAACTGAGGAAATTGTTAATTCTGTTAGGGAAGAATTAAAATCCAAATACACAGTCGGTACCTGCCAGGAGCTAATAGCCATAGACAGTATAATGAATCCAGGTACCCCAAAAGAAGACATCCCTGAGAAAAACCCATCAGAAGTGATGCTAACAGGGATCCAACTGTCAGATGGTTTGGAAGAGCAGGGCATGGAAAACGTGTCAGAAGCCAAAGAAGAGAAAGCCTGTGTTTCACCTACAGCTGGTGAGAAGAGTCTCCTTTTTGATTCTGATGGAATGAATGTATCTTGTTTGTTAGAAGATCAAGCCAGGGAGTTAGTCAATGAAATTATTTATTCAGCCCAAGAAAATTTGACAAATGATGCTTTTGAAGATACTGAGGATACCTGGGATTCTGAACTTCAGGCTAATACTTCAAAAATTCTGAACAGTGATAGTGTTAAGCCACATGATGTAGTTAGGGAGTTCTTGGTATCAGAACAGGCAGTTAATCAAAGCACACATGAAATTAGTGAAAATAAAATATTAAGTAGATTCTTCTCTGTAAGTAACCTAGTTAGTGGTACAGAGCCAATTAAAGGAAGAGAAATTGTTGTCTACCAAAAATCCCCATTTTCTGGGAATGGAGCTGGGCAATCTGATAGTATAAATTTGCAGGAATCAGATACTGTTTTACTAGCTAATGACATGCCACATAAAGGGTTAGATGATAGGGTAAAAAGACATTTATTTTGCAGTGAGGACTGTAAGGAAACAACAGAAGTAGAGTATGTGGATAATCACAAAACTGGGACAGAGGACACAAGAACCCTTGTGTTAAATTTCAAATGGCCTCCATTTGTGAATGATGACATCCATGCCCCTGGTACGTCCAAAAGCAGTTTCTCTGATAGTCTTGTATGTATGTCTGACAAAAGCTTGCCGGGACATAGTAAAAACACACCTCTTGCAGTGTCAGAAATAGGGAAAGTACACAAAAAGGATAATGAAGCAAATATAGGGAAAATCGAGCTTATACCTTCCATGTTAGAAATGGGAAAAACAAATAAAAAGGATGCTGAATTGAACATTATGAAATATGAGACAGTCCCTCCAATGTTAGAAATGGGAAGAATGCATAAAACAAATGTGGAACTAAATACCACAAAAACTGAGCCAAGAGCTGATGTGTTTAATATGGGAGAAACATACCAAATGGATGCTGAGAGGCATATTGAAAAAACTGAGGGATTACCTGTTACTTTAGGAATGGAAAAAGCTCATAATATGAAGGCTACTGAAGGGGATATTGGCAAAACTAAGGTGGTGCCTGTTATGTCAGAAGCTAAAAATATCTACCAAAAGGATGCTGAAGGGGATATCGCCAAGACAGAGGTGACACCCATTACAGTAGAAATGGAGAATATTTACCAAAAGCACGCTGAAGGGGATGTTGGCAAGACCGGGGTGACATCTGTGTCAGAAGTGGAAAATCTCTACCAAAAAGATGGTGAGGGGATTACTGAAAAAGCTGAAGTGCCACCTCTTACATTAGAGGTGGAAGATACTTACCAAAATGATGCTGAAGGGGACATTGTGAAGGCTGAAGTGACACCTGTGAGGTTAGAAATGGAAAACATTTACCCAAAGGATGTTGAAAGAGATAGTGGCAAAACTGAGGCGATGCCAATTATGTTAGGAGTATTAAACGTTTCCCAAAAAGATGCCAAAGGGATTACCGGAAAGACTGAGAGACCTGCGTTGGAAATGGAAGCAACTTACTGGAAGGATGCTGAGGAGGTCATCAGGAACACTGACATGGTGCCGTTTGTGGTAGAAGTGAATGAATCACGCAAGAAGGCAGCACCTGCCTCCTTAGAAATGGAAAAAGCACTCAAGAGGAATGCTAAAGAGACTATTGGAACGAGCGTGTCTATGCCCTCTATGATAGAAAGGGAAAGAACATCCCCAGAAGATTCTGGTGGGGATCGAGAGAGAGACAGAGTGTTACCCACAGTGGTAGACGTTGAGAAAACACACGGAACAGGACCAGAATTGACCGTTACACAAGTGAAGGCCATACCTCCCATATTTGAAACTGAAAAAGCACCCCAAGAGTGTGCTGAAGGGGATGTCGAAGAAATGAAGCAAGAACCCACTGAAATAAAGGAAGGCATGATAGCGCACGACAACAGACTTGCTTCACATTTCAGGGAATATGAACCACCTACGTTAAGTAAGGATTATGAGGGCTATCCAGCCTTAGCAATGCCAGATTTCCAACCTGAGGACACCGTAGTAAGGTTAGACCAAAGAATGTCTGTTACTGCAGTCTATGACAGGAGGCGAGATCTGGATTACAACGATGAAAAAGGAGAATATGATTTAGCTTTTGTTTCTCAGGATGAACAAGAACATTCTTCCTTTACTATATTATATGAAGAGCCCCTTCAAGACGAGGAGGACAAGTATGCTTCTGCAGAAGTAAGAAGAACACGGTCTGTCTTGTTTCCTGATACGTCCCCTGACAGCATGCCCGTGCTGGCATGTGAAAGATCAGAGAGTAGAACCGACCTTGTCCATCACTTTGAAAAAGATACTAAATTAGGTGAGACATTTGATAGTGATAGTTCAGAAATGTTCTTATCAGTGGAGGCCAAAAGGTACAAAATTTACCCTTTAGCTTTGTCTCCCATTTATGAGGATGACAGCTCACAGGAGGACATTCTCTCTAATGAGGTGTCACCAGGTCACCATGGCTCCATGAAATCAAGAGAGAGTGAAAACCAGCCCTCTTCTGTTTTATCGCTTCTCCAGTCAGTGTCAGAGCGTTTAAAGATGAATTTTGATGGAAATGACAGACAGGCAACTGAGGAAGAAGAGGAGGAGGAGGAAGCCTTGTATAAAGGAGGCCTGAGAGCTCAAAGGAGGGAGCATGTTACCTTCCAGTTGCTAGATCCTTCCATCCCATTTTACCCTGAGGATGACCAGGAAAGCACTGAAATTTCTAAGAATTCATATGTCATGTCAAATGAACCTACTACCTCCAATCTGCAAATTGGTCTGTGGCCAGAAAAGACCTCATTTCTCCAAAAATCTGACCTTACTTCTAAACTACATTCTTCTTTAAAGAGTGCTTATCATCAGTATTTGCAGACTTCCAAAACTCATTCCTCGGAAAAAGGAGCCAGATTTGGTGGGATTTTACAGGAACCGGTGTCAAAGTATTTCCGTGTTCAAGACAACTCAGGCAGATTGAACCCATTCATAGAGGTGAGTTGTTTTGTTTATTAACTAGTGAAGCAAAGCTTTGGGTCATGAAGTTATCTAAATTAAGCTTATTAATTGAGCTTATTAAGAAAATGTTTTGAGGTTGTGCGATTTGTTTTTTAAAAATATCAGATTTATTCTTTGGTTGAAGTGTATCACATAAGTCATGTATTTTAGTGGACTGTTACATGGGAAAATAAAATTGTCAGAATTTAAAAAGCATAATAGAGAGGCAAGTTACTTTGCAGTCCTTCACTGATATTCTTCAAACTAAATTAAGTGACAACATTCTGAATTTCTCAAGGTACTGAATGTGGGGAAATTGTGAGTGTCTAAATAGCTTATGTGTCTCATGAAAGTATTTCTGTTGGATGAAATTTTTTTAAGTATTTGCTTGACAGCAGCCTCTTACTGTAGTTGCTGATATTTCTGTTCCTACAAAGCAGGGCAGTGAACAGCCTAATTTGAATAAAAAGTTGAAAACATTATAACTGGGAAATGTTTCAAAATTCAGTTACATTTTTCTTTGATTTGGAAATTTAAATGTTTAATGTAGAATACTTATTGAATGTGGGACTTTCCTTTCTGGCATTCCCAAGGTCATGGTACTTTCTGGAGAATTCCCAAGGCCTGCATCTTTACCTTGAACAGCCTTAGTAGCAAATAGTAGTACTTGAATACCAACTAGTACTTTGCAAAGCAAAGTCATTTTAAAAGAAATGATGGGATTTGCAGAAATGTTTCTTTCATGGTTCCCCATTGCCCTACCAAGTTAAGTGGAATGTCTTCATTCCCTGTTATAAGGCCCAAAGTTCTTGTCTCCCCAGGGTGTGGTTACACACTCCATGTTTCCTACCACAGTATTTTTTCTCAAGATGATTCTCTTCCTGGAATTTCTTTCTCAACTATCCCAACTCTAACCTACCATATTTTTTCACTCACTGAAATCCTGTTTTTCAAGACCCTCTCAATAACATTTCCTCAAAAAGCCTCTTCTGAAGCTCCTTGTGCCATCCCCTACCTCACCTCCAAGCGGGTGCCATTTCTGTAACCTGACATTTCGGTAGTATTTTACCTGTCGGCCCCCCACTTAGAAAAGTTATGCGAGTCGTGGTCATTTATTTTCCCCTTCTAAGCTATGCGCTTCTTGAAGGCAGAGATGACATTATTTTCCTGTATATTTGCATTTAAATGCCTTGTGTCTAAAGAAGCACCTTGCTTATAATGGTCACTAAGTAATTATGTGATGAAAATGAAAAGGAGCTATGTGTCTTTCTACTGATGTTTCTTAAGCCTTACTTTTCTAATTTTATTATTTCAGAATCTTGACAAACAAACTCTCAGATGTAACCCAAGACCTGGGAAGGTAAGCACAACTTTCTCAGGTAGACTAAGATAAAAGGTGAAAAATAAGGTTACTTTTAGGCTTGAAGAGTTTAAGATAAATACTTTTAACTGACTTAGAAAATGATTATTTCAGTCAAGGATTTAACATCTAAAGTAATATTTGCTTTTATGTATTTAGGATATTTTTCTATATTATAGGACACTTTAGAATTTAAAATACATTCTGAAAATTAGTTTATTGTGTCTATTTACTATATGTTGCAGATGGTTATCTATGATCTACATGGAAGTAAATATAAACAAGAGGTTTACTGTAATATTCCTGATGCTACATCATGGTCCTTTCCGAATGGGGTACTAATAAAAGTTGTAAGGGGCTGGTAAGAAATCTCTTCAAATCTTATAGCATATTTTCTGTAATTAAGTATGTCTTCTTGCTGTTTATGCTTTTTTGTATCTTTTTTATTAAAGTCATATTCTCTTTCCCCTAGTTTTTGACTATTTTGAAACATTATTAGTGTTTTATAACTTAATTTTTCTCTTTATTTACTATGGCAGAAAATGTCTATTTTTTGTGATTAAAGCCAGCAGTTAAGTTCTAAGGCGTTAATATATACAGTTTATACAATCAATACCATTCTGTAACTGCATTATTAGTAGGATAAGTTTGGCAGGTCGAGTTGGTTGCTTCAGTGGAATGAAGCTTAGCTTTGAAAATGAGTTGAGAATTTGTGGGATGCTAAGAAATGTGACGGCCACACAGCTAAAATCATTTGTATAGAAGTGAAGGAATCTTTGTATGGTTTGAAAGTGAGGGAAAATGTTATTTATTATTAGGACCATATCTCATGGATATGCTGGAGCTAGAATTTCCTTATCCAGTGTTTAGGTTAACCCCTGGTCAGTATGGTGTAGGGTTGTCTTCATATAATAAAATGTGACACATGTTCTATATTATCTAGTAATAAAAAAATTAGGATAGAAGTATAATCTGGAATTATTAAACTATTGTTTTAATATAAATGTATAGCTTTGTGTATACAACATCTAAAAAGTGCATGTATACATAAGTAGAGACATAGGCCTGTATTGTGTTACTATGTTCAGGAAGTATTTTTATTTCCAAGTTGTATGCGCTTTTCTTTTTTCTTTACTTTTACTTTTTGTCTATGCTTAAATTAGCCTATATTATTGTTTCAAAAATAGGATTATATGCTAATAGTGGAAGATAATCCAACTTAAAAAATTTAGGTATACATAAAATGGTCAGTGATACTATCATTTGTTTTATGCCTCATTTCTTAGAAAATTAAATATAACTGATCATTGCATTTATATTTGTTTAGCTGGATTATATATGAGAAACCACATTTCCAAGGTCAGAAATGTGTGTTAGAAGAAGGGGAAAAGGTGTTAAATCGTGATTGGATTCTTCAGAACAGAAGGCATCCACAGAGAAACTTTGTATTGGGTTCCGTCAAACGTGTGTTAAAGGTAACAGCTGTTGATTTCTCCTCTATTTTTTATTTCATTTCATCATACAGTAAAACTGTGCTGTGGCCTAGCAGTGTTTAGAAATGGTTGGTAATATTTGTGCTAATGTTATTAATCTTCATTATCATC